AGCCCCCGAGGGCGGCCCGGAGGGAAACTCCTCACGGCACCAGGACTGATGTCCGCCCTTCCGAGCCAGAGGCCCAAGTGGGACAGCGGAGAGGCGAGGAATGAGAAGAAGGAGGCGCAGGTCGCTGCGGGGCGTTGTGAGAGCAAGGTGTGGGGATAAAGAAAGGGGGAAGAAAAACAAAACCCTGTAAACTCTGAGATGAATGAAGGCACCAGGAAGCTGCAGAGCTCCTCCCAGCTGCAGGGCTGCTCTGCAGGTAAGGGAAGATGCCCCAGGCCAGGCTTCGGAGGTGTGGTGGAGGGCAGGGACGGCCTCGCAGCCCTGACTTACCCCCCGAGCCTGCGGCTGAGCGGGCTCCAGCGCCGAGCGGGGGCTCCGGGGCCCGGAGGAGGAGCAGCTGCCGCGGCCCGGCCCGGCCGAGCCCAGCCTGGGGAGGACGAGGCGTTTCCTTGGGCCTGAGGAGCGCTTTGCCGGCTGAACACACCGAGCTACTCGCTTGTTCCTCACCCGTGGTTAAAATCCTCCCAACTGACACTAGCAGTGTCTGAAGCATATTCAGGTTTGTGCAGGAAAACCAGTTACAACAGATAACCCAGAAGGCAATTCCAGATTTCAGTATTTTTACAAGCACTTTTCATCTGGGGCTCTCAAAGTGCTTTGCAAATATGAACTCGTTTAAGCTTCACAACAACCCCCGTGAGGCAAAGATAATGATCACTATACCCATTTTACAAATGGGGAAACTTTAGCACAAAAGAAGAAAAGTGTTGCCACAGATCAGGCATAGCAAGTTGAGAACAAAACTAAGCAGTCCTGCCTCCCAAGCGCTTGCACTAACAAGTAGAAAACCCTCCCTTCCACTCTGGTTTGATTGAGAACAGCTATTCTGAACAGAGGTGTAGCATTTAAAAAAATGGAAGAGAAACACGTAGTTCAAGTTCAGTAAGAAACTTAAGCGGCTTCAGAGCATCAGCACCATTAGGCTACATGCTGCAACTTTGAGTAGAATGCAAACAGGTAAGTAGGGAAAAAAACCCAAGCTTGCTTTTTGTAATGGTATGATTCAGACTTAACATGCGGAATGGTGTGATGTAAGCAACACATCCAAACAAAGTACTCACACATCTTGCAAGCTTGGTATTAAAACTCACGTGTCATGAGGAAGTACATTGAAAACTCCTGCTCTAATAGCTGCAGTAAAAGTGGAGTAAGGACTGTGACAACAATGATGAGGTACGGTCAGGAAATATGGTCTGGCTGTAGTCTGAAAGTCCAAAGTGTTTATTCAAAGCACAGCCAAGAGTTTTGACAGCATATGAATGGCCTGTCTCACCGTGTATTACAGGTTTTGGCTGCCAGAAGCAAAAAGTTGATCAAGGTTTTTCTTAAAAAGTTGTAGAATCAGATCTTTGCTGGTTATATTTTTTTTTTTTTTTTTTTTTTTTTTTTCATGATAGCTTAAGTCAGTTTCTTTTTCATCCAAAATCTTATTTTCAGGTTCGGTGGAAATTGAAAGAAAGGAAGAATTCAGCAGTACCCTAGAGGATGACACCTGTCGAGTACAGGAACAGATGTGAAATATTTTTTCCTTGACTAACACTAGACTCCATAGAGGGCTGATCATTTCTAAGGTATGTAACCACAGAAGGCTTCTTACTCCAGATAAATTATCACTGAGCTATTTAAATTTGTAACTACAGTAGCAGTGCAAACATGTTGATGAAATAATCGCTTGGATTTGGCTGTATGGTGCTGTTCTGCTGCTGCAGCAGTCTGGGGTGACTGTAATTTCAGGCAGGATGGGTACTAAAAGAACTCTGGGGAGAGTGCCTTGTTAACCAGTTCAGTACCACTGCCTGAAATACTAGTCCAATGGGCATTATAGAGCTGCAGTGTATCTGAAGTCCTAATAGCATGCTGCTTTGCTTAAGTGTTATTTGCAAACAGTGGTTTCAATTAGTGGAAAACAGCTCAAGAAGTTTATACGGGGAAGAAACTGATCCTTTCTGTTAAAAAATAAAACTTCTGCAAAAATGTCCACCACTGCTGTCTATAAATAGGCCCCCAAAATTCACCAGTTTCAAATACCCAAGACGGAGAGGTACCTTTTTCTGCCCATTAAATTGTGTTCTCTCTACCTGAAAATTCAGCTGTTAATACATAATTTCCCTTTCCTTTCTTGCACTGCATGAGAGAAGTTTTTCAGCCTACCAAATTATTTTCAAAATAGGAAAAGCAAAATATAATCAAATTCAGAGACACATTGGGGCTCTGCAATACCAAATAAGGAATGCAAACTTCACATAGGAAAAAAAAAAGAGAAAAAGAAGGATTCAGCTAAAGAAAAGTGAAGGGGTGAAGGCAACAGAGAAGAGAATCACATGGTAACATACTCCTCTGATAGAAAGATGTATAAGTTGATGATTTAAAACTTGAACCACAGTAAGTCATGTTCAGCTTTGATTTTGTGACCTGCCTTTTTTCATGCAGATCCCCTGTGGTAATTCTGTCTTTTTTTAATTCCACAGTAGTTCAAAAAATGATACGCACAGATAACCAGACAAACAGAGTTAATAAGATCAAACTTCCTAACACAAACCAGGACAGAGTGAGCAGTCAATAATTCATGATCTAATTTATGACTGTGTGCCAGGCAAGCATGTTTTGCCTAATGGGGTGAATGTCTCTTTATTAACTTACTACTAAAATTATGTACTGAACTAATAGCATTGTCAGAGGCCTGTAAACAGTGCAGATATGAATCAGTGTTTTGTGGCATCACTGTAATTATAGTAACATCCTGAACAAGCTGTATGCCATTGCAGCGCATATAGACCTGGTACTGATAGGTTTAATACAAGATCAGAAGTTAACCAACAGGGATTTAGGCAGTGAATCACAAAGCAGACACACTTCTGTTTTGATACACAATGATGGTGAAATAAAGCCAGTTGCCCAAGCTGGATTAGAGACACATAACACACTTGGAAAGAACATGATCTCTCCTGGGAATAGCTCTTCACATTAATCTGAAAAAGCCCCTGTTTTTTTCCTATTATCACTCCCAATGAGTGGGAGTAGGTAAGCAATCTAGAGCTGCAGACGGATACCAACAGGCAAAAACTGTGTGCCTGCTGCTGCTGGAGGGATTTAGGTTTAAGACTTTTCATCAGAGGCAAGGCACTGACTGTCAGCACAGCCCATGGCGGGGGGGGGTGGTCCTTTATCTAGCCAGCTCTCAAGTGGGGACTCGCTTGTTTCTTCCATTTCTTCTTTCCTTTGAGTTTCTCAGGTAAACTGCAAACAATAGTTATACCACTGTGTTTCTTAATTCCCGTTTTCAAGCTCTGAACAAATAGCATGAAATGGTAGTATTTCCTCTCTGGTTCATCATTTGTGAAGCACAGAAATATTTTTTAAAATCTGATCAGAATACAATCTTTACATTTAAATTAATTTTTCTTAATTCTATTTTTTTTTTAACAAAATATGCATGAGAAAGAGTCTTAACTTCAGAGTTCACCCCTTGCTACATATACCTAGCTAAATATATAATCTTTTGACACATCACAGTGGGTTAGTTGACAACTGAAGGGAACACAAATCTAATTTGTTTAAAACCTTTGCTGGTAGGCATTTAACTGAAGCCCGTAAGGCACGGAAATATGACAGAAGGAATCACTTTTCCAGCTTTCTCCCTGATTTACTAGATGACTGAGGGCAAGTTATTTCAGTTTTTGTCTCCTTTTAGCTTGTGTATTATGTTGCTTTCTGCACACCAAGTGACTTAGAGAGCTGGGAGGGTATTCAGCTAGCTGGGGGTACATGTGCTGTTTCTGATTAGTCTGCCAAAAGAAACCCTCAATCCATCTCTCAAGGTGTTTAAGTTGTTCTTACAAATATCCACATTCTTAAGGAACAAAATTTGATAGTTCACAAATGGAAAGACTGGAAACCAGTCTCCTAGAAGAAAGAATGAATGAAACAGCTACAGGTCCGGGCAGCTTACCAGGGCAGTGTGCCTTCAGGCACAACCACTTTCTTCCCTTTGACTCACCCCTCACATCCAACCCTCTTTCCTCTTGAGTACAGCTCAGGCTCAAATACCAAAATAACCTTCGTATAACATTAACCCTTGAAATTCAAGCTCAAGGCCATCCCAGTCTCTCTCACAGTCCTGTGAATAAACTCATTCGGTCATATATGCAGTAACTGATTTTTGATTCACAGGTTCAGTAAGATGCCTACTACCAAGAGATTGGTATGAAACATGATTGGAATCCTTGTTCTATCCAAGACTTTCTTGTTTTTAACATCCCAATAGCTTTTAAAATTCACATTTTCAAACTTGTCTTCACAAAAAAGAAGAGCATATTTTCTGATAGCAATAGCAAGGAACTCATGTGACCTACTCATTCCTGTAGACAGAGTTTTGAGAAAAATACTTCCACCATAAGATCAGAATTGGACTGTGAGAAACTGTAAACAGAAAGAATGATTCTTGACTCAAAACAGTGTTGGTTTACAATTGCTGAAAATAAATTCATATTTTCGGAGTCTGCTTTTAAAAACTTGGTCATCATTTAAAGCTTTTCATTATTCTTTCACTATTTGATTTTCAGTCGTGTTGTACTACTACACTGTGCTTCTAGTGTCATAAGCTGATCACTCTTGTTTTCACAGAGTAGGCTGCATTTTTCAGATGTGTGTTGCCTTTTAGAAGCCAGAATTCACTTATGATCAGTAAGTGTCAATAGAAGGAACTGCTGAGATAGTGTACTGAAGTTCTTTGCTTTATCTAGGCAATTGAGCCAACCACTGTATTTTTTTCACTGACACAAAAATCAAAACAAAAAAATGGCACTGAGCCATAAATTACTGGAGTTTTCTCTTTCTTCCAAAGAGTAAAAGAAGTTTAAGTTCAGAGCTTCTTTATTAAAAAGTAGATGTTTGCCCGTGGACAACTGACATTTGTGAGATAGAAGCAAAAGTTTTTATGCATCAAAAGTCTTAAAAGATCAAACTGTTGAGAGAAATTCTCCTTCAACTCAGTGGGAATGGTTGCTGCTTCTCAAGGTTTTATATTCTCTGTCTGTCACTGACTTGAAACTTAAAGCTTCAAAGAAAGATGGTATGCAGCATTCAGAAAAAAATAATTTGTAGTTAGTCTTAAGGTTTTATATTCACATTTAGCTAAAGTAATCAAATCTAAAATTAATTAATTTTTATTCCATGAAATTATTTACTATATATGAAATTATTTTCTATATATTATATGAACATCATAAAAGATTCCACAGCTGTTTGTATTTTGTAAGATTAGGAGTCAGTGTACTTAACCTAAAATGTCTTCAAAAATCTGAGTTATGCAGTGTATTGGTCTTATACTAGTTCTAGAATCTTATACTAGTTATAGAAGACAGTGCATTTCAGGGAAGGTAGTATGTAAACATAATAGCTATTCCTCAGCAGGAGGTGCTGATCTCCTCTCTCTGGTGATCAGAGAGAGGACATGAGGAAATGGAGTGAAGCTGTGTCAGGGGAAGTTCAGATTGGACGTTAGGAAAAGGTTCTTAACTGAGTGGTTGGTCACTGGAACAGGCTCTTCAAGGAAGTAGTCACGGCATCAAGCCTGTCAGAGTTCAAGGACCATGCTCTTAGTCATTTAGTTTATTTTTAGGTAGTCCTGCAAGGAGCAGGGAGTTGGACTCGATCATTATGAGTCCCTTCCAACTTGAGATATTCTTTGATTCTGTGCTTCTGTGATTAGTATTTGAAAGTTCAAGAAGTCTTTCAAAATCAGGGATGTTATATTAAAATGAATGTAGTCTAAAGTAGCTGAATACTTTTAATATTCTTTGGGTAGTGATACAAACCCAAATTGTACCTATGGTCAATAAAAGTACTGTTCTCCACTAAAGGAAAATAACCCAGGAACTTAATCACTTTTGTTCCAGCCTCACACACAGGTTTTATATATAAGAATAATCTACATGATCAGAGAACAATTCAGGGTGGAAGAGTCCTCTGGAGGTCATCTAGTCCAACCTCCTGCTCAGAGCAGGGCCAACTTGTAAGTTCAGTCACACTGCTCAGGACTTTGCCCAGATAAATGCTGAATCCCTCCAAAGACAGAGATCCCATAATCTCACTGAACCACCAGTTATAGTGCCTTACTAACCTTATTAAAAAGACTATTTTTTCCTCAGACCCAACTGGAATTTCCCTTACTGCATCATGTGACTGTGGCCTCCAGTCCTTTCTCAGTGCATCTCTGTTGACCTCCATGCTGGTGTTCACCACTGCCAGGGCATAATGCTGACTCAGGTGGAAATTACAGAATCACAGTATCATTTAGGTTGGGAAGCACGTCTTGAGATCACCTCGTCAAACCCTCCCTGCTGAAGCAAGCTTAGCTAGAACAGGTTGTCCAGGAACGTGTCTGGTCTGGTTTTGAGTATCTCCAAGGATGGAGACTCCACAACTTCTCTGGGCAACTGTGCCCAGAGTCTGTCACTCTAATAGTAAAAAAGTGTTTCCTGATGTTCAAGTGGAATTTCTTGTGTTTTGTGTGCGTTGCTCCTTTCCCTGTTGCTGTACACTACTGATAAAAGTCTGGCCTCTTTTGCTTCACTCCCTCCCATCAGGTATTTATGTACTTGTAACTATAAATTGCCCACTGGAGAGTTACTTATTCCAAGGTGCAGGAGGTTGCATTTGCTTTTGTTGGGACCTACGTGAAAATCCAGTTGACCTACTCCTCTCCACTTGTCAACACACACATATATAAGATTTGCATTAAGTCCATTTCTTGCTGGTCTCTTCACAGGCTCACTATTTGAAGAACTTCACTCAGCTAAGTTAGATCAAAAGGACTTCATGTAAAATGCAGTAGAAGTGATTTTACAGGCTTTTATGATTTATAAAACAGACAGTAGATTTAGAAGCCAGTTCAAACAGTCTGCACTATATAATATAGTGTATCTGCAGGCAGAGTCTGAGGCAAAAATGGACACGAGAAAGTAATGTCGTTTTTTCTATCCATAAACACCAATCTCCCATTCTTGGGTAGCTAAAAATTGGGCTTTTGCTAGGAACCTAGGTTATTGCTATCCTTGGCAGATGTTACTGTGTGTTGTTGAGCTTTTGTTCCTGTAGAGTGGCCTTAGCTGATAAACTCTGTTATGTAAATTTAATTATCATGTAAGTCAGTGGAGACTGCCCCAGGATAGCTTTTCTCTTCAGTGGCATATCAATAATGATCACTGATAAATACATTTTCAGGTGTTCCTAAAACATGACAGGATTATGTCTTTGCTAGCATCGTAGCAAAATGAAATCCATCTACCAGATAAAAGAAGGAAAGGAGGAATCTTTGTAAAAACTATGTTTACAAATGGGAATACAAAAAATGATCATGCCAAATCTATGCTTGTCAATTATAACATTTTACTTCAAAATGTGCTAACAAATCCTGTAAGAATATTGTTTTAGTATTAAGATAACTATACTTGTACTCCTAAACTTTTATTACAAAACAGAAAGTTTGCCAGGTCTAATCTCACCATGGATTAATGAATTGCATTTGTATGCTATTTTTTGTGGGTTTAGAAGGTCTTTCTAAGACCTTTACAACACAATAATTACTAAATATTCATAAGTTAAATTTACAGTAATTAGTATAGCAATGAGTTAGGAAATATTTGATTTCATACAAAGATAGCATGACAAAATACTGCAGTGGCTTCTGTCCTAGTAGTTTAAACTAAAAAAAGCTTTCAAAAAGTAATTAAAAACTCTACTAAAAAGATACTATTTTTTGCAAGGCATTCATTCTTATTTGTAGAAAGGTAGATGCAGGTTTAAGACCCCCCTAATGCTCTTCATCATGTCAAATTTGATAGCATGATTTCCAAATAGTGCTGTTTTCTCATGGTCTGTTTTGCATGAAGCTTATCTGGCCCAGTGCAAACATTTGCAGTATAGATCACTACAGCTGAACTAGGTGAAGAAACTCCTTTTCATTTGAGTCACCAGTGAAAACATAGGCCCTTTTAAGATGTGATTTTTCTGTTCTATTTTAGACATTGACTTTAGGATGAGATGAATCACAGCCTAGAAATGCTTGGGTTTTTCTTCACTGTTAGGAGATTCTAAGATGACTAGCTTAGGCGTAGATAACTGCATTTTAGTCATAAAGTTGCATGAGATTATTCTTACTCCTATTGTCTACAATCATATTTAGACCATAAATTCTTCAGGCACTGCCAACCACCATGACTCTTCATTACTATCAGTAAAAATAAGAATGGTTTCCAAAATCAAATTACTAACCCACTATAAGAAAAATCCAAAACTTGCTCTAAGAACTGACCAACTCCCCCTACTTTTAACTTTGAATTAAAGGAAAAGGCTTTGGGAAAAAAGTTATTGCTACCATCTGGTCCCATTTCATGAATTTTAGACCATCTGTTTTTGGCAAAGGCTCTCAGAACTCAGATTCCAGTGCTGAGATCATGAAAGCTTCAGAATTTTATCCCAAGTCTTTCCAGCTAAATTGCTGCCTTTTAGTGAGCATCAGCAGGCTTCATGACTGACAGATGGGTGGCAGTCTCTGCGATAGACAGAAGCCTTTCTGCATTCAGTCCATAAGGAAAAAGAAGCACAAGCACTTCTGTGGTTCCACTTGTTAAGAGATGTGCTACCATGTATTTGAGAACCACAAGTGACCTGTGTGTCTATCTCATGAGCGCAGCAATAGATTACTGTGGAGGTGACTCAGAATATAGAGCATAACAATCATATCCTCGCAGAGAAAAAAAATGTTTGGGCACAGCGGTAAGCACACCTTACTACTGCAGTCGAATAACAAGAAGTGTCTATAAACAGCTGTGGCTATTTAGCAGTGGCTCTGTAGTTTGGGAAGTCTTGACAGCCTTAATGTATAACACCAACGCATAGTCCTTCAGCCAGGAACAAGACCAAGCCGGGAAGATTTTCCTGCTGACGTGCCTGTTTCCTCCTTCTGTCTCCATCTCGTCTTTTGACTAAATTAAATGACTGATTGTACACAGATGGAGATGGCACCAGCAAATGCCCCTTCATACAAGGCTTAACTAACATTATTCAGCTGCTCTAAGCTACATAAATCAGCTCTCCTACCTTAGCAGAATGGAGACTCTTAATATGTCATTTACTTCCCTTGACCCCATGAAAGACCCAGTTGGCTTTTGACTACTAGAGAATAATTTATAATAATGATCCATTTTGTATCTAAACATACATAACCACTTCATTTTTACCTGAGTCTTCCATCCTCTGCTGCAGCTCCTCCTGGTATAATCTTAGTAATGAATATCCCAGGATCATCCCCAATGTGTGGGTTGTCTGTTCCTCCAGCGATACTGAATCCCAGGCCGGAATTCCCCTGGAAAAATAAAAAAAAGTAAATGCGTCACCAGATGCTAGATTTCTACAGAATTTATTTGCAGTGCATAAGCAAGTTATCCTTGCTTCTTAAAGAAATCACTTTATTTGGCAACTCCATACTTGAAGGCAGGTGACTCAGAAAAAATTGGCAGTTAAAGAACCGAGGCTGTGAACAGAAAGATTTCCCAGACTTAATAGCAGAGTTAATGGATGCTCCTATAGAAACAGGATTTGACCTAAATTTAATTGTTTTCAAAAGCAGTCACATAAATTAGCATCTGAACTCCAATATGAATTTATCCAAGTCAATGAGAGCTAGAGGCTAAAAACACTTCAGAGCTTTGAAAAAAGACTTTAAAACCCGCTGTCATTTATAAACATTAACAGTGAATAACATTTAGCTCTTAAATTCTTGAAAAGTGATCATTGCTCAGATTCACATGCTTTAAAAAAAAAAATCCATAAGACTTTCTTTCATCTTACTGATTTGCTAGAATGAAATGTTTGAAGGACACATTATGAGACTCTACTCAATAATCTTACTTACTGCTTCTACTACTTGTGAGAATATCATGAAGGCTAAATAGGCATGTACACACATACATACCCTTGAAAAGTCACTTTCACATAGAATTCAAACCCACAATTCTAACCCTTTTTTTGAAGTATATGTTATTATGCTTTTCTCCATAAACAGTGTTTTTTTGCAAGGGATTCTTTCTTATTTATAGAAGGGAGATGCAGGTTTAAGACACCCCCTGTGCATAGGTGAGGTCTTAAAATTCAAGGCAATACTTCATTGTTTAAGTCTCATACCAAAGTATTTTTACAATTAGGTATTTAGGCTTATCACAGTGCTACAACCCTGTTGATACTGCAGAATATGTACACTACTGTGAATGAAATATGTTCAGGGCACTAAAAATACTTTTATTTCATCAACCTCAGATTATTGGGAGTTTGTTTCCTTCAGTGTTGCTTGTGGCAGGTATCCAGTTCAGTCCGAGTGAGACGAGTTACTAATAAAAATGGCACCTCTATACTTTTTTTTTTTTTTAAATTTAAATCAAATTTAATTTCTGCTGTTTTGAACTGTACTTCAATTAGTAGGTCAGGCATGCAATGCATCTTGTGTGAGAAAGCCTGCATGTTGCCTGCCTGCAGCATGTCAAATTCTCAATTCTGTTATCAGTATTCTGCATCCATGAGCGATGCAGTTCTCATTACTCAAGAGATGTACATGCAATCTGCAGCATATAATTGTGAATACATTTTCAGTACTGAACTAATTTAGAATCCAAGGAGAAGGATTTAGACTACACATATCTCAATACTTGTCAGCTAGCTATAATATGAAAAATATTATAATACTGAAACACTCTGTATATATTTTCTGTAGAGTTAATAAACATCTCCAGGCCACTATTATAAATCTTTGATTTAATCTTCCTTTCATCATTAGGATCATCTCAGATTCAGGTTATTTTTCCAATATTTTAACACATGCCTAATTATACAATGCACTCTACACCAACGTGCACTCTAAAAATACTTTTAAGAATATTTTCCTGTAAGTTTTTCTATATGTTGTATTATTAATGAAGCTAATCTTCCAACACATAAGAATGAAAAAACGTGTACTTATACACACTTCAGGAAGCCTGGAACAAAAGCCTTAAACCACTACTAAAACCAAGGGCAAATTTCTAGAAACTTAGAGTAAGTAATACTTGATTTCTAAAGAAAAAAAAATCCACCAAAAAACAACCTCTAAAAAAATAGAATTAAATTGTTGGTTTTATTCTTAACTGCAAAGAGATTTTAAAAATATGCAAAAATCTGTGTTTTTGAATAGAGGTGGATTTCCAGACCTGCTTGTGGTAAGGAAAGAGAAAGAATGGGGTAGCCAAGGAGAAGTATTGACATAATTTTTAGATGGTTAGGGAACATAAACAGCTATATCATAATAAAAAAGCATGCCTGAAGAGCTTTAAAAACTATCAAAGCTTGACTGTTATGTGAGGTGTGCTTAGCTGTTACAGTTCTTCACATAAAGTTCATTAGATTTCTTAGCAGGAAATAATTTCTGAAAAGGTTTCATACT